CCCATACACGAAGTGCCAGTGCATATAGCTCTGGCATGGCCCCGAAGCACCAAGCCGGCACCGCAGCACAAGGAGATTGATCGCAACCAATCGATGAACCGCAGCTCATTAAATCATAACGTTTGATCGCAACCAAACGGTGGACCGCAACTCGATGATATATATATATATATATATATATATATATATATATATATATATATATATATATATATATATATATATATATATATATATATATATATATATAAACAGCCGATGGTTCTCAAGCCATCCAACTGCCTGTATAGCCAATTGATCACAACCAATTGGGGTATCATGCACAATTAACACATAAGCCAAGCACTTGCAACCCACATTAACACATAAGGAGGTGGAATCATTGGGGAACACTTATTAAAATAACCTACGCGTGGCCAACCACATTAAACTACTCGAGACACACCTAAGGGGTCATGCACCTGCCTGTAGGACTTGTGGCTTAGTTAGCTTAGTGGTAGTAGCGGTTGTTTTGTGTTGGTTGTCTTGTCCTTAGTGTTTGGCTAAAAGTTGATGTTGGTGTTAAGTCTAGAGTTCGTGATGCTCAACCCATTCACTTGTTAAACTCTTGTCAATCCATGAATTGTTATGCCTTCTTTCTTATTTGGAATCCTTGTAGAATCTTTTGAGTTTTGACCAAAAGGATTCGTTCTTGAACCTCTTGTCACAATGTTGTTTTCTATCATCGTTTGTTTCTGATTCGTCATACCCAAGCTTCGGGGACGAAGCTTCTTTGAAGGGGGAGAGGATGTGACACCCCAAAAATCCACATTAAATCCATGGATTAATTGAGTAATTAATCCTATTTCAATTGAGGAATTAATTCCTAAAATCCTGATTTTTAATACTTGAGGACAAGTATTTGACTAGTCAACTTCAAAGTCATGTTGTACCTTGACCTTTGAAGGGAGTTCCCTTGTTCCTTACACTTTATAATTTTTTTATTCATGACCTTTTCACAAAGTGTTAGTATTGTAACCTAACCTAGAAGACATCTTCATTCTACCCCTTACACTTTCTAAAACTTTAGTATTGAGACCTTGCCAAGACTTCAAGATTTGCTTCCAAGATTCAACCCTTCACCTATTTGGGCATCTAGAAGGGTAAGATCTAAGTCCATCTTGTGTTTTTGGTTTTATCTTAGGTGTCTTTTCTTAAAGGTAGGATCTTTATGATCTTTTGGTTTGTTCTTGAAGTGGGTTTGGAAAGTGAGCCTTGTGAGGAGCTTGTTGAGGTGTAAAGTGAAGTCTTTTAGTCTAGAAGAGGTAACCCATGCTCTACAAAACCTATTTTGCTTACCTATATGTGATTTCTTGGATTCTACTTGTGTTTTGCTATGAAATGTGAGTGTTTATGCATTTGTCTTGTGAAAATGCATATCTAGAGCTTGTGTTTCGGGTTCTTTGGTGCCATTGCTTGGAATTTCCTATGATTCAAGTCATTTTGTTGTATTGGGTGAGATTTGGCATGTTTTGGACTTGAATTTGAGCTTGGAGTTGAAAATCCCCGAAGGGATTATTTTGGACACAGGGATGTACCCCTGGGTGGAACGACGGGCAGAGCCCTACCCGCCGCCAACCCGCAGGTACATTGTCCTCGTGGGTGTGTAGCCGCAGGCAGAACCACGGGTAGGGGCCTACCCGTGAGTCAACCCGCGGAGAACACCGTGGTGTCGTGATGGGATTTGTTCCCCGTGATTCTTTTGACTCGGTATTTGGTCTTTTGACTTCCCGATGTTCTTTTATGGAACTATTTGAGTGTCTTCTTGATGTTTCGTATATCTAGAACTATATGGTAGGTATCCATGTAGGACTTTGGTGTCTTGAATCGTGCTAAGTGTTCAACATTGGGTTTCGTTGGACCGTGAAGTGTCTTGTGTGTTCCTCGGAACTATCTTTGGTTCCCCATTGATAAGCATGCTAGTTTGGTGTCTAAATGCTAGCGTGTGTGTTGTTTGTACATAAGCATGCTAGTTTGGTGTCTAAATGCTAGCGTGTGTGTTGTTTGTACATTCCGATTGGTTGATGATAACTTGTGTTATTCATCGTCGTTGTTGTTGGAATTGAAGCATGTGCTCCATCTCAACTAAAAGCCTAAGCTGATAGTTGGATTGCACATTAATGGCTATATTGCTCACACACCCCCTCACGTGTACGGTGGATTCCAACCAACACGTGGACCGGTAAACCGTAGTCGCTTATGAGTGGCGTTGAGATTCGAACCCATGACCTTTAGTCTGGCTTTAATACCAAATTGAAGCATGTGCTCCATCTCAACTTAAAGCCTAAACTGATAGTTAGATACACATTAATGGCTATATGCTCACAGTTGGGCTGTGACCCATTCCTTGATTGAGTATGTTTCATACCTTTGTTGCAATACGTTGATTGATTCCTGTTGAGGTGTGATGCGTGTGTAGCTTTACCTGGATTGCACGATCAGTGGTATGGGACACTAGTCACCAAGGTATTGCAGCTGTCCTCGCGGTGGCCGTGACGTGATTATGGAGTTGTGGCCTGAGTGATGGGTCCACGTATTTCTTGGGAAGGTATGTGTTGCCGTGTGTGTGTACGGTACCTTGTGTACTATGAAATTGGTGGTCTTGTTGGTGGTTTGTTGGTGGGGGACGATGGTCCCAGGAGGGAAAAGGTTGGACTAAGAAGTACAGGGTCTTGGAGGTAATGGTTGGAAAGAAGATACAAGGTTGGGGGTAGCCATAAGGTTGGAACCGGGCATAAGGCATGCATACCAACTCGAGATGGGTGATGTCACGAGGGCTATTGTTGTAATACCCAATTTCTTATAAATGCAATTATGCTTAAGTTTTATTAAGTGAAGTCAACAAGTCAAAGCTTCTTATTTTGATATTGGATAAAATTACCAAATTACCCTTCTTGACCCTTAAAGGTTAAGGAACCACATGAGTCTTGGATAAGCATCTCATTTGAAAGAAGACAAGGAGAGCTAATTAGAGAGAGTTAGGGGAAGGGAAAACCTTGAAGCTTGGATCTCCATCTTCTTCAAGCTTAGATCTCTAAGATATTGGGTATTCTAGGTGAGTTTAACCTCTATCTTTTACTCTTTATGAGTTGGATTTATCTTTGGAGCCCTAAGATTGATATTTGAAAATATTAGGGATTTTGACAACGAGTATTTGGGCAAGCTAAATAGCTAAGATTTGGATGTTTTAGGTAAGTGTGTATTTCTCTCAAAACTATTTTTTACCCTATACTATAAATTAAGCTTGTGTTCCGAATTGTTATATTGAAGCTTGAGCTGCGTATTTTTGGACTAGAAACGTTGCTATGTAATCTGGACTGGAATTGTTGTGAACTGTGTTTCTGGACAGAAAGTATGGTCTTATTTAATCTGAACTGGAATTATCATCAAGTGTAGAGATGGTGGAATGGCTTGTGGTTAATGTGTAGGTTGTGGGTTCCACTCTGCCTATTAGCATACTTTGGTTTATTTCTCTATATGTATTACATGCTTATAAATAGGATTATTTGTTTAAAGAGAGAATTGAACTCTTAACCTCATGATTATATTAAATTGAGTTCTTCCAACTAAGCCATTTCAATACCTTTAAAATTACTTTGGTTTAATAAAGTATTCTATGATTTTTAAAGAGTTATGTACTAAGAAAATTATTGTTTTGAGAATGGTTTATGCTTTGCATATTTCTTAGTTTGATAAACCTATTATCCATAATTGGACATATTATGTATCTTGAGAAAATATGTGACTTGAAAGACTTTGTACAATAAAATATGTACTTTGTTATGTAATTTTTGCTACATTGGGCTATTTGTTTATAAGAATTATTTTGAATGTTCGGTCAAACTCATGAGGCAACCTATTTTGTTGTTTGTTATGTTCGGCTTGGAACGTTCCTAATTGCTCATTCCGAATCGTCGAGCTTGACTCATTCCGAATCGTCGAGTCTTTTGAATTATTTGTTGGAACGTTCCATCCGGCTCATTCTGAATCGTCGAGCCTGACTCATTCTGAACCGTCGAGTCTTTTTGGACCATTATACCAATAATGGCATGTGCCACAAAATATAATGGTGGTTGTAGGTTGCCCATGGGTCATATGTTAAGGAATGATTTGTGCTTTTGAAAGTCTTTTGTTATGAAATATTGTTGATGCCCATGTAGCTAAAGTTTCTTGTTTTGTGAGCTTATGTATTGTATGATGGAGTATATTATGACTTCGATATGGTTTAAAGATCAAGTTTTGCCTCTAGTTATTACTCTAAAGCTTTTTGTATTATATTGGGGTTACTTGATCCGAGGTTGAGAGGAGTACCACTTACTGGGCATTAGCTCATTATTTGTATTTGTTTTTCCTCATGTTTCAGAGTAGTTAAGGACATGTGAATAGCACGAGCACAAGTGGTGGGGTCTCGAAGGTGACTTTTGGAAACTAGGAGACTTAGTCCTACTATTGGAGCTTATCACAGATTTTTGTTTCTTTTGGATATTCCCGTTGACCCTTTGTATTTTGGTAAACCATTGTGCTTGGTTTTGGTGCTTGTAATGCATTTTGTCATGTTAGTCTTGATTGTAAATATTTAATAGTGGTGATTTGGTGAGTTTTTGGGAAGAACTAGTTGTTTATATTGGTCATAAAAGTGAGGAATTGTTATGTATTAAAGTGTTGTTATGAAGGTTCTGAGAGGTATATATGGCTAGGCTTCGTATTGTTACAGGCTTTCGTGTAGCGATACGGCCGGGTCATGTCCTAGAAGCGGGGCGTGACAGAGTTGGTATCATAGCCTAGGTTTGAATCCTTAGTTGGTCAAGAACTTAAGTTTAATTTTTTGCAAAATTAGGCTTTAACCTTGTGGCTGATAAGTTTAGGCTTTGAGCAAGTTTTAGCTAGTTGTGGATTCCTAAACATTTTTGCTAATGTGGTCCTACTTTCTCTGTTGTGAATTTAGGGAGTGTTGCTTTACTATGATTAGGAGGGGTGTTCGTACACGTGGTCAAACTCATCAAGGTAGGCCGTCGGCAAATGTGTCTCCTATTCGGAACATAGCTGTGGATGCAGGACCATCAAGGAGCCCCCCGGTTCAGGGAGTCAATCCTGGAGCTACTGCGGCCCCTCCTGGTACAACACCTACAGCTCCCCCAACTACCTTGCCAAATACACCACCATTAGCTACTCAAGCAGATATCATTGGAATCAGTACTGTTGTAGCTAATCTAATTCGACAACAGCAAGGACAACAAGATGTCACTACCCAGTCTTCATATTTCGAAAGGTTTAGGCGAGTGAACCCCCTACCTTTAATGGTGGCCCAGATCCTACAACAGCAGAGAGATGTATTAAGGAATTGGAAAAATTATTTGATGCAATGCAATACCCTAACGACGTCAAGGTAGCAGTAGCCGTTCCTTTATTGCAAGGGAATGCTGAGCATTTGTGGGAGGTAGAAAGGGCTGCCCACCCTGATGGTGTTAATTGGCAAGATTTCAAAAGAATTTTCTTTGACAATTTCTTCCCTGACAGTTTGAAGACAATCAAAGAAAATGAGTTTCTGGACTTAAAGCAAGGAAGTATGACTGTGTTGGAGTATGCGCACAAGTTTCATGAGTTGGGCCAATTCTGCTTGAGATATATGATTGACGAGAGAGACAAAGCTAGAAAGTTTGAGCGGGGACTAAGACCTGATATTCGAGATAAGTTATGTGGGACCATCTTCACCACCTACTTGGCTGTGTATATGAGCGCTCTTAAAGCTGAAGCTGAAGCCGAAGTGAATAAGCAAGCTGAATACTGGGCACGGAAGAAAAGAGCAGGGCCCAAGATATCTAAAGAAGCTAGTGGTTCTAACAATAAGAAAAGAGATGTTGGATTTCAGAAAAAGGAAAATACATGTGGATATTGTCATCGATCTCATACCGGTCCATGCCACCGTAAGACTGGAGCTTGCTTTGGATGTGGACAACAAGGCCATTTGATCAAGAATTGTCCCTCCATGAAGAAGAACGAAGCACAGTCGACTCATCCCAAAAGGGCTAATGCTCGGGTTTTTGCCATGACACAGGAAGATGCAGATAAGGTGGACAATGTAGTTGCAGGTATTATTCCCCTAAACACTGTGGATGCTTATGTGTTGTGTGATTCTGGTTCTTTGCATTGTTTTATTTATGAGAGGTTTGCAAAGAGCTTAAATTTGCAAGCTAAGAAGTTGAGTGAACCTTTATATGTTAGTACCCCGATGGGGAAAATTGTGGTGACAGACACTTGGTTTCAAGATTGTCACCTACAACTTAATGGGAGTAATGTGTCAATTGACTTAGTTCAACTAGATATGCGGGATTTTGATGTGATATTAGGAATGGATTGGCTATCCAAAAACTATGCCTTCATTGATTGTGCTCGTAGGAAGGTGGTATTTCAAATTCCTGGGCAACCTATTTTTACTTTGGAACACTTTCCTAGGAGTGGGGTGTTGGTTTCGAGGGTGCCATTAAAAGTAATTTCAGCATTGAAGGCTAAGAAGGAATTGAAAAAAGGGTATAGAGGTTTCTTGGCTTATGTAATGGATACCCACCGTAAAGAAGTTAAGTTAGATGATATCCCCGTTGTTAAAGAATTTCCGGATGTGTTCCCAGAGCAATTACCTGGATTACCTCCAGATAGAGAAATTGAGTTTGAAATAGAGGTTGTTCCCGGAACCACTCCAATCTCAAAGGCCCCTTACCGCATGGCACATCTGAGCTACGTGAGTTAAAGGTGCAATTACAAGAGTTGCTTGATATGAGATTTATTAAACCTAGTGTATCTCCTTGGGGTGCACCAGTGTTATTTGTGAAGAAAAAAGATGGTAGCTTGCGATTGTGTATTGACTATCGGGAATTAAATAAAGTTACTGTGAAGAACAAGTATCCTCTACCTCGCATAGATGATTTATTTGATCAGTTGCAAGGTGCTAAATACTTCTCAAAAATTGATTTGAGATCAGGGTACCATCAATTGAAGGTTAAAGCTAGCGATATACCCAAGACTGCTTTTAGGACCCGGTATGGCCATTATGAATTTTTGGTGATGCCGTTCGGGTTAACTAATGCTCCTGCCTTCTTTATGGATTTGATGAATAGGGTCCTCAAGCCATTTCTGGACAAATTTGTTGTGGTATTTATTGATGACATTTTGATATATTCAAAGAGTGAGGAAGAGCATGCTCAACATCTGAGGATCATCTTTCATACCTTGAAGGAAAATGAATTGTATGCCAAGCTAAGTAAATGTGAATTTTGGCTTAAGGAGGTATCTTTTCTTGGTCATGTGATTTCTGGAGATGGGATTTCTGTGGACTCGGGTACAGTTGAAGCGATAACGCAATGGCCGAGACCCACTAATGTCACAGAAATAAGGAGTTTTCTGGGTTTAGCAGGTTATTACAGGAGATTTGTGAAAGACTTCTCATTAATAGCTATGCCATTGACTCGGTTAACTCGGAAGGGTATAAAGTTTGATTGGGATGAGGAGTGTGAGAAGAGCTTTCAGGAATTAAAGGAAAGATTAGTTAATGCACCTATCTTAACCCTACCATCCGGGGAAGGAGGATTTGTTATTTATAGTGATGCATCAAGAAGAGGATTAGGATGTGTGTTGATGCAAAATGATAGGGTGGTAGCCTATGCGTCCCGACAATTGAAGCCCCATGAAGTTAATTACCCCACTCATGACTTAGAACTAGCAGCTGTGGTATTTGCTTTAAAAATTTGGAGGCACTACCTATATGGAGAATCTTGTCAAATATTCACGGACCACAAGAGTTTGAAGTACCTCTTTACCCAAAAGGAATTAAATATGAGACAACGACGATGGTTGGAGCTAATCAAAGATTACGACCTCTCTATTAATTATCATCCGGGTAAGGCTAACGTGGTAGCCGATGCTTTAAGTCGTAAGTCCTCCACGGTTAATGTGACAATGGTAACCACTCAAACCCAATTGTTGAAAGACTTGCAAGATTTGGAAGTTGAGGTTATTTCGCAAGATAAGCAAGGAGGAATTTTGGCAACTATGACTGCAAAACCGGTATTATTAGATCGCATCAAAGCGGCCCAAGTTCTAGATCCCGAGCTGATTAAGATTCGGGAAAAAGTTCAAACGGGTAACCCAAGAGAGTTCGGTATTCATGATGATGGATCCCTATATCTCAAGTCCCGACTATGCATTCCAAATGATGTTGAGATAAGGAAGGATATTTTAAAGGAAGCCCATCAATCTCACTTCTCAGTACATCCAGGTGCTACCAAAATGTATAGAGATATGAGAAATAATTTTTGGTGGAGTGGTATGAAGCGAGATATTGCTGACTTTGTGGCTAGATGCATGGTATGTCAACAAGTCAAAGCTGAATACCAAAGACCTGCAGGATTACTGAAACCCCTAGAGATACCTCAGTGGAAGTGGGAACATATATCTATGGATTTTGTGAGTGGATTACCGAACAGTCAGCATGGGAAAAATACCATTTGGGTTATTGTGGATCGACTTACTAAGGTTGCACATTTTCTACCCATTAAAAAGACAACTCCATTGAATGACCTAGCTGAGTTGTATGTGAATGAAATCGTAAGGTTACATGGCGTACCTGTTAGTATAGTATCTGACCGGGACTCTAGATTTGTGTCAAAGTTTTGGAGAAGCTTACAACGAGCCATGGGGACTGAATTAAGATTAAGCACTGCATTTCATCCACAAACAGATGGGCAAACCGAGAGGACAATTCAGACTTTGGAGGATATGCTTCGAGCTTGTGTTTTGGATTTCAAGGGTAGTTGGAGTAAATACTTAACTTTGATTGAGTTTGCATATAACAATAGCTACCAATCAAGTATAGGGATGGCACCTTTTGAAGCTTTATATGGAAGGAAGTGTAGATCTCCTTTATATTGGGATGAAGTTGGAGAAAGAAAGATCTTAGGACCAGAACTTGTACAACTCACAGTTGAGAAGATTAAATTAATTAAGAAAAGAATTAAAGCCTCTCAAGACAGGCAAAAGAGCTGGGCTGACTTGAAAAGAAGAGAATTGGAATTCAAAGTTGGGGATTTGGTGTATTTAAAGGTTTCACCAACTCAAGGAGTAATGAGGTTTGGAGAGAAAGGGAAATTAAGTCCACGTTACATTGGACCGTTTGAGATTCTGAGTAGAGTGGGTAGTTTGGCTTATGAGCTAGCACTACCACCACAATTAGCTGGAGTTCACAATGTATTCCATGTATCAATGCTACGAAGGTACATTGCAGATCCGAGTCATGTGGTGGAGTATCAACCACTACAAGTTAGGGATGACTTAACATATGAAGAAGTACCTCTTCGCATCATTGATCGGAAGGAACAAGTGTTGAGGTCCCGAGTAATCCCTTTTGTTAAAGTGCAATGGTCACATCATACCCCAACAGAAGCAACATGGGAAAAGGAAGATGATATGAATGATAGATATCCTGAACTCTTCAAGTTTGAAGGTAAGTAAGTTTCGAGGACGAAACTCATTTTAAGGTGGGGAGATTGTAATACCCAATTTCTTATAAATGCAATTATGCTTAAGTTTTATTAAGTGAAGTCAACAAGTCAAAGCTTCTTATTTTGATATTGGATAAAATTACCAAATTACCCTTCTTTACCCTTAAAGGTTAAGGAACCACATGAGTCTTGGATAAGCATCTCATTTGAAAGAAGACAAGGAGAGCTAATTAGAGAGAGTTAGGGGAAGGGAAAAACTTGAAGCTTGGATCTCCATCTTCTTCAAGCTTAGATCTCTAAGATATTGGGTATTCTAGGTGAGTTTAACCTCTATCTTTTACTCTTTATGAGTTGGATTTATCTTTGGAGCCCTAAGATTGATATTTGAAAATATTAGGGATTTTGAGAAGGAGTATTTGGGCAAGCTAAATAGCTAAGATTTGGATGTTTTAGGTAAGTGTGTATTTCTCTCAAAACTATTTTTTACCCTATACTATAAATTAAGCTTGTGTTCCGAATTGTTATATTGAAGCTTGAGCGTACTATAAATTAAGCTTGTGTTCCGAATTGTTATATTGAAGCTTGAGCTGCGTATTTTTGGACTAGAAACGTTGCTATGTAATCTGGACTGGAATTGTTGTGTACTATAAATTAAGCTTGTGTTCCGAATTGTTATATTGAAGCTTGAGCTGCGTATTTTTGGACTAGAAACGTTGCTATGTAATCTGGACTGGAATTGTTGTGAACTGTGTTTCTGGACAGAAAGTATGGTCTTATTTAATCTGAACTGGAATTATCATCAAGTGTAGAGATGGTGGAATGGCTTGTGGTTAATGTGTAGGTTGTGGGTTCCACTTTGCCTGTTAGCATACTTTGGTTTATTTCTCTATATGTATTACATGCTTATAAATAGGATTATTTGTTTAAAGAGAGAATTGAACTCTTAACCTCATAATTATATTAAATTGAGTTCTTCCAACTAAGCCATTTCAATACCTTTAAAATTACTTTGGTTTAATAAAGTATTCTATGATTTTTAAAGAGTTATGTACTAAGAAAATTATTGTTTTGAGAATGGTTTATGCTTTGCATATTTCTTAGTTTGATAAACCTATTATCCATAATTGGACATATTATGTATCTTGAGAAAATATGTGACTTGAAAGACTTTGTACAATAAAATATGTACTTTGTTATGTAATTTTTGCTACATTGGGCTATTTGTTTATAAGAATTATTTTGAATGTTCGGTCAAACTCATGAGGCAACCTATTTTGTTGTTTGTTATGTTCGGCTTGGAACGTTCCTAATTGCTCATTCCGAATCGTCGAGCTTGACTCATTCCGAATCGTCGAGTCTTTTGAATTATTTGTTGGAACGTTCCATCCGGCTCATTCTGAATCGTCGAGCCTGACTCATTCTGAACCGTCGAGTCTTTTTGGACCATTATACCAATAATGGCATGTGCCACAAAATATAATGGTGGTTGTAGGTTGCCCATGGGTCATATGTTAAGGAATGATTTGTGCTTTTGAAAGTATTTTGTTATGAAATATTGTTGATGCCCATGTAGCTAAAGTTTCTTGTTTTGTGAGTATTGTATGATGGAGTATATTATGACTTCGATATGGTTTAAAGATCAAGTTTTGCCTCTAGTTATTACTCTAAAGCTTTTTGTATTATATTGGGGTTACTTGATCCGAGGTTGAGAGGAGTACCACTTACTGGGCTTTAGCTCATTATTTGTATTTGTTTTTCCTCATGTTTCAGAGTAGTTAAGAACATGTGAATAGCACGAGCACAAGTGGTGGGGTCTCGAAGGTGACTTTTGGAAACTAGGAGACTTAGTCCTACTATTGGAGCTTATCACAGATTTTTGTTTCTTTTAGATATTCCCGTTGACCCTTTGTATTTTGGTAAACCATTGTGCTTGGTTTTGGTGCTTGTAATGCATTTTGTCATGTTAGTCTTGATTGTAAATATTTAATAGTGGTGATTTGGTGAGTTTTTGGGAAGAACTAGTTGTTTATATTGGCCATAAAAGTGAGGAATTGTTATGTATTAAAGTGTTGTTATGAAGGTTCCGAGAGGTATATATGGCTAGGCTTCGTATTGTTACAGGCTTTCGTGTAGCGATACGGCCGGGTCATGTCCTAGAAGCGGGGCGTGACAATTGTAGCCGGTGTTGTGTGTTCTTCTCTTGTGACGTGTGTAGTCACAAAGGCATGTGTGGCCTTGGCATGTGTTTCCGGTG